TAAGAATGCAAAGTGATGGAGGGTTTTCTTCCTATTGTGTTTTGACCGTAGTAGTTATGTAATAGTACCTAATACCTACTTACCTACTACCTAATACCTATAATGTCCCGTGCGTGTCGTAAAAGACGACATACTAAAACTGAAACAGGATAACAACCCGTTTGCCGCCAACGTGTTTGCCCGGAGTGGCAACTTTTTTTTTAATTAAAAAAACGTTACCTCCACACTAGGATTTTCTCCTGTATCGTGGGGGCAGTTTACAAACACAAATTTCACAAGGACAAACATCCAGACCCGGAACAATTACTTGTAGGCCATACAAATACTTGTTCCGTGCGGGATTCGAACCCGCAGCCCCCAGCGCAGCCACTTATTGCTAAGCCACTACGCCACGGATATAACAATATTTATATAACTATTTGATATATCCCATCTATGAAGCAATCTATGGGAGGACTTATGTTATATTCGTCAGTGGACATTTTGTTAGGCGGTAACGGCGTTATGAATGGAGATTCCAGTCTCTGTTCTGTTATGTTCCAGTCTCCATTCGACTGCGCTGATGGTGAGCACTGTGGGATGCTCATGATGATCACCCGTACGAGAGCCGGTGAAATCGAAGCTGTGGAATTGAAAGTAGCTCCATAGCAGCATGTCACCGTTAGGATGACCATCCTCACGGTAACCTACCGCTATCCAGTAGTAAACATAATTGTTTGTATGTCAGACGTATTTTATTGAAATGGTTTTTCATGTAAAGTATTCCACTGTCCCGTTATTAACATGTGTAGTTAAATGATCGTGCGCCGAGAACTATTGTTACTGAATGTAACATTGTACAATGGGTGTATTCATCTGCTAGGTTTCTGTATTATTATTTATTCTCTGCTGTAATCTAATCTGAGGCTGTGCGGCAACGGCACGAACTCTTCGGTTTACATTACGGACTGCATTAGAGACGTGACAAGAAGCGTGCTAAACATTGGTTAAAGCAGTAGGCACTAAGTTTATTTATTTTATTTATTTGGGACAAGCAACAAGACATAAATTAAACATTAAACATAAATCAAACATGTGATAAAATTATGTTCTAGGATTAAAAACTAAATAAATTAAAAGATTACAATCGCATGCGTTATTAAACCATATTGACAATATTATTTACACGAACGTGTAAATAATATGAATATTGAATGAACAAATTCTAATATTCATAGCTCTTAATGAGTTTAAGGTAAATGAGAGTTTATTACAAATAAATGAAAATAATAATATGAAGGTTGTTTCAGAAAATATATCTTACCAGTATTGACCAGTATTGACAATTTTTTTTCATTTGTAATATTATAAAAATTATGAACTCTATAGAAGTTTGAGACTATCCGCAAAATCGAAAAATTAAAACTTTCAATAGAAAAGGTTCATTCAGAAATTATATACGTAGTCTTCATCTTTAAGTTTTTAAGACGATATATTTTTTACAAAAGTGAAAAAGGTTAGGTTAGGTCAGCCTGTGCCCGAACGGGTTCCCCTCTTATCGTGGGGGGGGGGGGAGCTGTGGCTTAGTTACGCGCGGCGAACACAGATAAACCCACTTGGTTGACCCGAGATGGCCGCTTCGAGTGGGCTTTCCTAGCCCACTCCGGATGCGCGTTTGTAGACTGTGGGACAAGGTGGAGTCGCAGATTAAGAGGAGTGTTGGTACGGCGATGCGCCACTCGCCCTATCTTACGCAACTCTGGCAGAGCCTGATGCTTATGGGTACTCGACCTTCCTGGCCTCATGGCCTCCATGCATCGGGCTCGGTGGAGTCCTGGAGGAAGGTGCGCTCCGTGTTCCAGTGCGCCTTGCTTAAGAAGAAGGGAGGAGTTGTCCTCTCCCGAGGAGATGCTCCCATAGGCGGCCGGCGCCGGTGGAGTCGCGGATGTGTGCAAAAGTATGCCTGTGACCCTGCCAATATGCGGCGAAGGTGGAACACCATAGAGTTTTAGTCGGTGCGAGTCCGACATGGCCCGTACTTGCCCCTGCGAGGCATTTTCCCATGTAAAAGAAAGGTCAGCCTACGCGTGTGCCAATTTCAGGCGAAGGACTTCTGTCAGAAAGGAGAGGGTTATGGAATAATTAGTCCTACAAGTTACCTTGGTGCTTTTTGTAGAACTACTTATTATGTCCTTGAATTATTTTATTTCTTAGACGTAGAGATTTGCTTACGATGTTTTCTGTTTTTTTTTTTTTATAAAACCTAACATAAGTGATCTCCGCCATTAATGAACAACTGAAACACCAGAGGAATTACAAGTGTGTTGCAGTGCAAGCGTTTTAAATAGGAGTAGACTCGAAAAATCGTCGGTGGTAACCGATTTCACAAGGATGTCATGAGAGGAAATAGACTTCTTATAAATTTCAAAGTAGTGGACCGCAAAGCATCTGGATGGTGTGGATGGTTTTGGGTATTTTGTCGCAATGTGGGGCAAGTTGGCGGCTGAAATTAATATGAACAATTCCTCTAAGCACTGTCCGTGTCTGTGTCATATTATTATAAAAAATTGTATTGAACTTGGACGATTTTGCAATTAAATATACAAAGATAAACGAGGAGTTGTTTGATTTAAAGTGTTCTCGGTTGATCCAATTTTAACACAAAATGACGACCTTACATCTTATATTGGCCGGCGGTTATTTTCCTACGTTTTCACAACCCAAAATATTACTTTTACTATTCGAGCTTCTGCTTAATGTAAATTAGACATAAAATTATAATAAAAGCATACGTAAGTTGGTAATTAATTCAGTACCTTAGAAGTAGTTGAATACAAAGTTCTATAAATTTTTTAATGTTCTTCCCTTTAAAATATAATGATAAAATACTAGATGGTATAGCTCTTACGTATTATCACTAGATGTTAATTTTTTTATTCTTCAGCTTTTATATTATGGCCCTTTTAATAAATTACGTAAAAATGGAATATAATAGCAATTAATATGATACCTAGTTCGAATCAAAAATTGTTATTAAGAAAACTTTTATTAGTTCTATTTTTACTTAGTATACTTAAAATTTGTTTTGCTTTTTTTAATTCAATAAATAGTTTCCGTTCCAAGTGTTGTAGAAAATTACTTATTGTTAAACTTTGATTTTCATTAATATTTTTTGCTTTACTAAATAAATTTATTTATATCATTGAGTTTATATTATTTATTTTAGCTATAATTAGACATTTTGTTTCTAAAATTTAGTCTGAAAGGTACATTAATAGGTTTCTGTAAGAAGACACGATGATTAACCGTTTGATTAATTTTAATCCAGACTAAACACGTTTAGGTGTTTGACAGTTTGTAATTCAATGTTTACATTTTTATGGGAAAATCATATGTGCACAAAGAGCTGGTACGATCTGTATTTTCATTTAAGTATAATATATTACTGACTTTATAGCCGGTAGTTAATTTGGATTGTGATTTGCAGCTGGTCTGATGATTATGAATCAAGTAATTAATCATTAACTGTCTATTATTTCAAAATAAGTTTAAATTATTACATATTACGTCCAGCGAATGATAAAACAAAAGAGCCCTAGGAAAAAAGAACTAAGAAATCATTACTTAATTAGTTCTAAAGAACGTTAGTGATTAATATTGATGTAAGTTTAAGTAGCGCAGTGGCTAAGTTTGTTTTAGTGCTGCGGGCGCGGGTTCGAATCAAGCACGAATGAGGTTGCGAATAATTATTCCGGGGTTGAAAATTAGTCGATATGCTATTTATGTATGGAAAAACTAACTACAAACAAGAGAAAATCGTAAATTTTGACCTTCTTAAACAAGCAAAAAGGTTTTAATTCTAATATAATTTTGTTAAAATGATATGTGTTCAAAAAGGTAGTTATATGTATATTGAGTGCCATAATTATTTTTAGTTAGAGTGAGTTCTAGAAATAATTTTAATTTAGTGATTACAAATATCATCGTAACTTTCCGTTCATAACAAATAAAAATTTATCGATTAAAATCACTTTCTGTATTTTATTTTTTAACATTATCTGAAATAATAACAATAAAAACAAAGAAAGATTATTTTTCCTGATCATAATAAAATTTTGATAACATTAACTTATTAAGGCATTTTCTCATATTGATTACACCGTACATGAAATCCAAGCATTAAATATTTGCAAAAGTAATAAAAACTTTTTGTAATTAGCAAATTGTTTCGAAATCTTAATTGATACACTACAATTTCTTATATTATATTTAATAAAGGGTCTAGGAATAACTAAGCGGCTACAAATACAAGATATACACACAAAAGTCGTGATAATATTGACTTTTGATGCACTTGTACCGGCGTTGTTTGCAAGCCTAGCGCTATCAGTGGTACTAGTTGCTTCGATTATGATTATTAATACCCAATTGTTCCAGTTCTTGTGCATGCTATATGCGAATGGAATATTATATTTTTAAGATTCATAACGGGAACACATAAAATTAGAAAAGCCTAGAAAAGACTTCAACGCACGCTATTTACAGAAAATATAAAATTTAGAACATGTCTGTCGTTCGTGAATCGGATACTATACCGACTCCAAAATGGTTATTAATTAGGATATTAAATACTTAAAAGTGTATTTAAAACTCGTTATGTCTATTATATTTGGAATGCGATAAAATTGTATAATTGGTTTCTTAGTCGCGTTTTATTAAACTTGTAGCCAGCGTGAGTGATTATGAATAAAATAACGTTTACCTTCAATTTTGATATATGGAATTATTAAGAGAACAATTGGCCAGCGTTTTGGAAGGTTATGATAATAATAACGGTGAGAATATCAAAATTGTAATCGTACAACAAATCGAGTGACATAGAAACAGACTGTATTGCATCGAAATGCTTGACCTTCGGTCGGCAATGCAGTTCATGGCGCGATCTCCTCTCATCTCGTCTACATAAATCAGCTGGACAACACTCCTACATAAACATGCATTGAAATTCAACACGCACTCACCGTAAACAGACGGCCGTATTGAAAATAAACCGTACACCTCCAACTTGAAAAGTCACAGAACAAATTCAACAACACAAAAGCCGAAAACTGTCAGAGCGATAAATAAAATGAAAGTATTGACGAACTAAAAACTTAATACAGTATCACCACTTCACTCACTTTACGTCGGACCGTGCGAGTAAAGTTTTGCTCACGAGAAATAACGCGGAGTACGTGCGATGCTGTCGACTGTAACGAGTCGAATGGGCTCCGCTGTGGTCGAGCTCGGGTCGGCGCAAATCGGCAGAGCCCGAATGCGAACGTAAACGAACAGTTGGAGCGTCGGCACGACAGACGAGCAGCTTCCGCGACGCTTCGCAAAATTGACAGCATCGCATACTAATATGCATGTAATCACAAATCTCACGATATCCGGTGGGGAAGGAACGGAATTTGTTAAGCCGCGAATCACAATTGCGAGTCAAAAAATTTAAACATAAATTAGGGCTTCGCGTGCTGAACTCATGCTATTCAACGAACAGGCACCTGCATCTCGATTATTTTCGTCATATATCAAATAATTTTCAAAAAATAACTTTCATATTTCTACAGTTTAGATGATTATTATCTTATTCATAAGCTGTCTGACCTTATCTTAATCATGAGTGCCTTAAGAGATATACATATAAAGTAGGGCTTACGTTTTGCGGTCGAATATAGGGTAGGGCAGGAGAAACGATCATCCTTTCATAAACCTCTTTTATATTTATCCTATGAAGTGAAGAAGTGAACAGTGGCCTAAATCCTTGCTTTTGTTTATAAAAGGCAGGCATTCGAGGCATTCCACCTAAGTCCTCACGGATGACAAAGCATCTGCATTTTAATTCGTAATCGAGGATAGATGAAGATGTCTATGGGCCACAGCAACTACTTACCATCAGGTGGACTGTGTGCTCGTTCATCATCCTATCATATAAAAAACAGCACTAAAACAGTTTTGTAATATTAGTGGATTTCTGTACTTATGTAAAGCATAACATAATTTTTTGCTAATTAAACAACGTTAAACATGTTACCTGTAACCGTGTTAGACAGAGGAGTGGGAGAGGGGTCAGAAAATCTACTACCCCATATCGTCCCGTAGGCGACAGAGGTAAACTGAAATAAAAGATGGCTAGCATTCTCCAAATAACGCTTAAATACTTAGATCAAGATCGAAGATTAAATATACCCATTGCCGTTACAATAACCAATCAATAAAAAAAAACAAAAAGAAACAAATGTTTGTAATATATTTACTATATTATAAAACTCCTCCCTACAAAAAGACAGTGGACTTCTGGAGCTGATTTATGATGATGATAATAATGCCAAAATAGCTCAAGTTACATTAAATTTTATATTTTAATGAAAAGTAATGTGTTTCATTATATTAAAAAAACTTAAAAATGCGTTCTACCGTTTTATAATGTGACACAATTTTTTATAGAATAAGGATTATAAAGGAGCACACAGTCCACTTGATGGTAAGTGGATGCTGGGGCTCATAGACGTCTACACTTATCTTCGATTAAGAATCAAAATGCAGATGCGGTGTCAACCCTAAGGATTGACATGGAATGCCCCGTTTCCAGTGAAAAGGGTCTCCGGCTCTGTACACTCACAATACGAAACACAGCAGCAATAAGATGCTATTTTACGCTGAGATTATGTGAGAGCACGCTCCTACTCCAGTCGAGCCGACCTTTTCGTGCTACAACGCAATAACACAATGCACGTAATAACACAAAAAGTATATTCTAGTTTTTTAAGCAAAAATGTCTCAAAAAGGGTCACAATTCTAAAATAAGGAACGAATCATCATTATTATCATCATCTTTACAGTTTTACACATCTTTACACGGCCACTGAACTCGAAACATCGGTCGGTGAAAACAAACGTACAGTCCTAAGTCACCTGAATTCATCGGCTTACTGGATGTCTTCCCAGGTCATCACTCCATCTAGTTGGAGGCTGTCCTGCTCTCCGCTTAACAGTCTGCTCTGGTACCTCAGTTGTCAGTTCGTCGAGCTATATAAAAATATAAATATATATTTTTTATATAATTACTTTACTTACACTTAAAAAAGGAATCCAAAATGTTGTGTGAATGAATGAAGTAGACCAAAAGAAGTTAAATACTCTTTTCTTATTCGTTTTACCCTGGCAAGTCTACAGTATCGTAATGACCGGACGTTTACTGATAAATTTGAAAATGGAACTCAGTCGACCTGATTTTCGCACTAAGATTTACTATCACTAGGTTTAAAGCATTAGGCTTAAACTTCTGGATACTATTTTTTACGTGGTTCGAGATGTCTGTCGCACTGAACTGGTGTCGATTCTTGACAGAGAAGTTTGAGGACGATGAAAACGTTGACATCATATGGACAAAATCGCTTGTATGGTCGGTTATATACTACTTTTAAGATGAGCCAATCCCAATAAAATGTCACCACGTGCGATGAACCCACAAACATGTTTTGGGAAAAGGGGGGCGCAAAATTTTTTGGGCGGTTTTGGGGCCCCCCTTTTTTTTTTTTTTTTTTTTTGTTTTTTTTCTGTTTTATTATTTTTTTCCGTTAACACGCGGGGAAAACTATTTCGCCTCCCTATCCCATTTTTTCCCTGCCCCTTTTTCTGCCGAACGCACCCTGTGTCGCATCGTTGTTCTGAGAGACGAATCAGATCGCTACTGTGGTGACAGAAAACCAAAAAATGGTTAACTCAGTGTAGTTTGTGTCCCAAAAGTTTTATCAATTTGGTGTGACGAGCAAACAAAAGTAATCCGACAACTTTTATTGATACCACACAAACGCAACGCTACACACGACTTTTGATACTCCATATATTTGATTTTTACAAATTTTCAAAAATTAAAGAGAATTTGAAAGACAAGAAGTTTGAAAGCAAAGAAGATGCACTTATCGCTTGCTTATGATTACGGCATCTCTGAGGTGACTAAAAAGTGGTCAGAGGTATTTCCCAAGTAGTTTACGTATATGGAAAAGTATATTTGTGGTCAAGGTCAACATTTTAAAAAGATCTACACTAGTAATTACGTATTAAAAGTTTAAATTTTTGAGCATCTAGTTTCATTAGAGGATATGCTCATCTTTGTTAAATAGGCAAAAAGGGTTGAACTCTATTCTGCATTGGAGACCGTTAGGGTAGGTGCCAGCCGCTTGCCTATTTCCGCCACTAAATAGCAGTGCTGTGTTTCGGAATAAAGGATATAGAAAGCTGTGAGGTACTCCTTCTTAGTCCTCAGAAGTGACGTCGCATCTATAGCCCTCTTTGTTTCAAGATGTTTGCAGGTGTCCATGCACTGCAGGAGATACTTACCGTCAGGTGGACTGTAAATTCATTAATTACCTAAAAAAATATAATAAATATTTTTTGATTTACTTTATTCAACCCATGGGAATTCAAAACGTGATGTACAGGTAAAACTTTCATAACAAAAACACGCAACAAAAAATAAACACACGCATGCACACACACACGCACAAAGATAGTGTGATAATATTAAGTTCTAAGCATCAAAGTTGAAAGCAAGCAACATAGTGTAAAGATTTACATCAGATTAAGTGAATCAACCCAACGGCCTGAGTCATACTAAATTTTAATTAAAGTTTTAATTATTATATGCTACAGTCATAATTAAAAGAATATATACATATCGTAATCAAGTGGTTCAGCAATTTATTTCACGTTTAGTTTTAGCGTTTTCTGTTCGTTTTTGCTTTTATAAATTTATTAATATCGAAAAATATCACATATAAAAAACTGTAATGTTGCGGCAAAATGCTAATGATACAAGACTTTTATTTTTATAATACGAAAAGTTTTGTATAATCCTACCACTATTCCCTGACATGTATCTCTTTACCGAGTAATTAAATTAAATTAAATAATAAAATTACGTCGGCGAATCATATCTTTTTTACTTTACGATCATCTCATAAAAAACAATGTTAGCGAAGAAATTTTGATTCATTTGGTTTACGCGTTATTCCGCTTAATAAAATTGTCCACATTGTTTTATAGACCATAATCTACGAAAGAAAGAAATTAATCGCCAATCCGTTTGATGTTCCTTAACCTTTTTTCATTATAAGTTTTTTTAAAAGATACCGTAATTAGTAATGTGGCAGTGAACTGATTGGTTACTAGAAAACTCTACCCACTGATCGTAGCATAAACAAGGGATTTTCTTCTGGGGAAGCTCTTAGGTAAGAACTGGTTCATAAAATGACACCGTGAGACTCGTCACAGACACAGAGATCGTAGTAAGTATTATAAATTTATTTAAGGATTTAATTAATTTTTTTTAACATAACATGCTCAATTACCAGTTTTGTTGTGTGTGGTTCGCGGCCAATGTTTCTATTTCACGCCATTATCAAAATTGTCGAGAATAGTATAAAATAAATATGATTTAATCTTAATATATATAAATTATAAATTTAAAATAAATATTTCCAATTTAATATTACTTTGTGGATAACGGTGCTGGTTACATAATAACTAATATTATTTATAAAATGTTATTTGGTTTAAGCATTATTATGTAATTGTTTGTTGTCCTGAATAAATAAAAAAAAATTACGTGTCACGTTGTTTGTCCGCAATGGACTCCTAAATAACTCAACCGATTGTAATCAAATTTGCACACCGTGTACAGTTTGGCCCAACTTGAGAGATAGGATAGTTTTTTTTGCTCATGAGTGACCCACATTTTTTTTGCGAATTTAAGGATTTTTAATTGGACATGACAAAGGGTCGTCTAAATGGGCAGAACAACGACTCTCTGGCAAGCTAGTTTGTTATAAATATAAGTAACCGAGTAGTGGCGGTGTAAGAATATCCATTACCTCACACCGTACCGTGGGTGTCGTAAGAGGCGACAAAGGGAATTGAAAGAGGAGATAGAAGAGAAAGTAGCCTAAGCATAGAAGCGACAGTAGCCTAGTGGCAGGGCGTGGACAGCGAACTCGTAAAGGTCGTGGATTTGAATCCGC